CCTTATATTATGTTCCCAGGACAAGTGTAAGATTAAAAACCAAATACCAAGCATATAGAATGGAGAACCTAATATTCTGTACTCAGAACAAGTCTCAGTCTAAAAACCAGATACCAAGAATGTGGAATGGAGAACCTAATATTCTGTACTCAGGACAAGTCTCAGTCTAAAAACCACATACCAAGAATGTGGAATGGAGAACCTAATATTCTGTACTCAGAACAAGTCTCAGTCTAAAAACCAGATACCAAGAATGTGGAATGGAGAACCTAATATTCTGTACTCAGGACAAGTCTCAGTCTAAAAACCACATACCAAGAATGTGGAATGGAGAACCTAATATTCTGTACTCAGGACAAGTCTCAGTCTAAAAACCAGATACCAAAAATGTGGAATGGAGAACCTAATATTCTGTACTCAGGACAAGTCTCAGTCTAAAAACCACATACCAAGAATGTGGAATGGAGAACCTAATATTCTGTACTCAGGACAAGTCTCAGTCTAAAAACCACATACCAAGAATGTGGAATGGAGAACCTAATATTCTGTACTCAGGACAAGTCTCAGTCTAAAAACCAGATACCAAGAATGTGGAATGGAGAACCTAATATTCTGTACTCAGGACAAGTCTCAGTCTAAAAACCACATACCAAGAATGTGGAATGGAGAACCTAATATTCTGTACTCAGGACAAGTCTCAGTCTAAAAACCACATACCAAGAATGTGGAATGGAGAACCTAATATTCTGTACTCAGGACAAGTCTCAGTCTAAAAACCAGATACCAAGAATGTGGAATGGAGAATCTTACATTCTGTACACTGGACAAATGATAATTGAAACTTAAATTAACATAATTCATTGACTAATATCAGATGATTATAACACTGATTTTTCAAGTAAAACAGACCCTGCTTGCATTTCTTCATACCTATTTTGTTTTTGTCTTTTCTTTGCAAAAAAACGCATATTTTTATTTTTATCCATAATCATTCATCTCATTTACAGAATAATTTTATGTAGTGTAGACCAAAAGTGATAAGAGGTCTACCATTGAGGTCAATGTTATTGTGTCTATTCAATTATGGAACACAAGAGATATTAACTGTGGTCAATTAAGATTAGCCTTAAAGTGGAGGTGATTCCAATTTATACTCCCATATTTAAGTGAAATTATTTGTAAATAATGACAGTGTCTATCATACTATATAAAGTATATTGTATCAGTACTCTTATTTGCCTAAGAAAAGAATTGGAACAATAGCATTTCAAAAAAAGTATGGGAATCAACTTTGATATCAATTACACACCTTGTAGCAAATTTGACTCAATTACTTACACAAGCATAAGATAATGATAAAATACTTTCATAATTCTCATCAAGTGCTTAAATTTGATATATTACTTTTTCACATTAATTTATAAATAGTAATTTATTATAATTTTTGATTTACAAAGGAACTATATGCAAGTGTATATCTAAAATAAAGTAGCTGTTTGACCAATCTTTTCTTAATTTAAGAGTAAATAACATGTCAAAAGTTGACAATAGATGATTAATAAGGTGTATAAAGTCTCTGCAAGTCATAATCAAAGCATCGTTGATGTTGTGATCCAGCCATATTCATAGCTAGTCTCATATGCTTTCTGACCATACTTTTTTCTTAATTTTTTTCTCTTTTCATTTCAAATCTTACTGTAAAATTTCTATGTTATTGTCCAAATGTAGGGAATTTCGCAATATTGATGCAATTATAGATATATATACTGATCTTTCAATTTTAGACTCTGTCAGATTTGATTTTTGACAAGAATGGAAAGGAAAATCGTCAAACAAGTAACATATTTTTTATATGCCTTTAATAATGACAGGTTTAATAATTTCCAGAAAGAGGCCTTATAAATGCACTTTCTCAACAACAAAAGTTAAAAAGAATAATAACTAATTTTTATCTAAATTGGTGTTCATTCTTCATTAAGAAAAAATACATTTCCTGTATTCAAATCTGAATGTACAAATACCTAATGCTGATATATTTCCAATTACTGTTAAATAGCAATATAATGGGATATAAATGTAAAACAAACACATAAATTTTATTGCAGAAAATGCTCAGGTAAGAGTTATGCAATTTTGTTTAATATTTCAACCAAATTTCTGATAATTGTAACTAATTAATTAGAACTTGATTTATTGACTTATGTCAGATGATAATTGCACTGATTTTACAAGTAAAATAAAATTTGCTTGCATTTTTTATACATATTATTTTCATTTTAAGTATTTTCTTTGAAAAAAAACCACATCAGATTAATCATTCAGCTACCTAGCAAAATTAACAGAATATTTCGATGTTGTGTAGGTAAAAAAAACCAATACATTCGTAGGTTTACTATTGAGGTCAAGAATGTGTGTATTCATTTAGGTGTGTAATTAATTGTGTCTATTTAATTATGTAACAGGTCATGAGATATTTTAACTGTTTTGAATTAAGCCTGGGGTTGTTTCTAATTAATACTTATTTGAAAATCATGAGTTACTACTCATTCTGACTCTTCCTTGCCTATGGAAAGAATTGGAGTAATACCATTTCAAAAAAGTGTGGGAATCAACTTAAATATATTAATACACATGTAGACCTACATTTCATTGAACAATAATTTACACAAACACAAGATACTAATATAATACTTTCAAAATTCTTATCAACTGATTCAATTGATGTACAAATACTTTTTCAAATTAATTGATAAATAGTAAATCATCATAAATTTTGATTTAGAAAGGAACTATATGCAAGTGTAAATCTAAAACAAAGTCACTATTCGACCAATCTTTTCTTAATTTAAGGGCAAATAACATGTCAAAAGTTTGCAGTTGATGATTAAAAAGGTGTAGAAAGTTTCTGCAAGTCATAAAAACACATAATTAGTTTCATGATATGTCTTCAACTTAGTATTCTGCACCATCTCCAAAACCAGAGTGATCGCATAGATCCAGCATGGCTGAATCAAAAACACATAATTAGTTTCATGATATGCCTTGAACTTAGAATTCTGTGCCGGCTCCAAATCCGGTGTGATCACAGAGATCCAGCATGGCTGAATCAAAAACAAATACCAAGTATGCAGATTGAAGGACTTTACATTCTGTACTCAGGACAAGTGTAAGACTAAATATCAAATACCAAGCATGCAGAAAGAAGAACCTTATATTCTGTACTCAGGATAAGTGTAAGACTAAAAACCAAATACCAAGCATGCAGAATAGAGAACCTAATATTCTGAACACAGAACAAGTGTTAGACTGAATAACCAAGCATGCAGAATGAAGAACCTAATATTCTGTACTCATGACAAGTGTAAGAATAAAAACCAGACACAAAGCATTCAGAAAGAAGAATCTAACATTCTGTACTCAGGACAAGTGTAAGACTAAAAACCAAATACCAAGCATGCAGAATGAAGAATTTTATATTTTCTATACTCAGGACAAGTATAAGACTAACACGCTGAAATGTCTTACCTGTTTTATTGACCATTAATTTTATCTTGAAAGTCTTAAAGATAAAGATTTTACTACAAGTATCACATAAACTTCACATTTTTAAATATCCATGACAATGAAGTCAAGGTCAGATAAATCCTGTCAGACAGACATGTTCACCTTACAATTATTCCATACACCAAATATAGTTGACCTATTGCTTATAGTAATTGACACATTCCAAAACATAAAAAGTTAACACTGACCAATGTACGATGAAAATGAGGTCAATGGTCAGATGAAACCTGCCACACTGACATGTACCCCTTACAATAATCATTCCATACACCACATATAGTTGACCTACTGCTTATAGTATCTGAGAAACGGACCTAATCACATAATTTAACCTTAATCACTAATCAATATTATGAGGTCAAGGTTAGGTGAACTATGTCTGATGGACAAGTAGACGTTGCAAGGAATCCATATACCAAATATAGGTATCCTTTTACTCACAATAAGTGAGAAACTCACATGACAAAAAAACTATAATTTTTTTTCAAGCAGTCGCTGAACAATGAAAATTAGGTCAAGGACAATAGACTTATCACAGACGGAAACTTCTTAACATAAGGCATCTGCATACAAGGTATGAAGAATCCAGGTCTTCTACCTTCTGAAATATAAAGCTTTATACAAATAGTTTACACTGCCACCGGATGGTAATCCCTATGTCTCACATACTGTGACATTCATCGCAGTCGAGACAAAAACCAAATACCAAGCATGAAGAATGAAGAATCTAATATATTGTACTAAGGACAAGTTTAAGACTAAATACCAAATACCAAACATGCAGAATGGAGAAAATGACTTTCTTTTAAGGCCAAGTGAAAGTCTAAACATTGTTTTTTGGTTCCTTTAGGTGATATAGCTCTGCATGTGTTTAGGTCTTATACATTCTTGGCTTACAAATACTTGGGTTTGAGCATTCCTGATGAAGGAACACCTAGAAAAGAGTTTCAGACACATAAAATAAATAAATTGTTATTTTTAGTTAAGGATAAGTGTAAGACTAAATTCCAAATACCAGGCATGCAGAATGAAGGACCTAATATTCTATACTCAGGATAAGGATTAGACTAAACACCAAATACCAAGCATGCAGAATAAAGGACCTAATATTCTTTAATCAGGAAATTTTACGACCAAACACTAAGTATTTTATATATTTGTCTGCAAGCATCACTGAAGATACCTTAAATGTTTAAATGTGCATTTGGTGCAGCAAAATTGGCACTTAATATTATTAGGTAGAAAATTACATATGAACAGGGCAAATAATTCGGATGCAAACTAATTGCAATTTCTTTAAACAATCTGTCTGAATGAGAGAAAATAGGACACCTGAATATTTTTATGGTATCCCAAAAACAAATATCCAAAACTGTAAAAATATAAGAGCATATACCTCAAGCAATGGGAAATGGCCTTCACACAGCACAAAAACATTTATTTTACATAGTTTTAATAAATTTTATTGCATAAAACATTTTGTTATCATTAAGGGTATCTCTGTATATAAAAAATATGTTATGATAAAAGGAGACAAAATGCCAAGGAAAAGTCCAATTTATTTATAAAACTTAACAAGATATAAAAAATACTATGTATAAAAAGATATGGTTGAGCACTTAAAAAGAATTGAATTTATCACTAACTACATGAACTACAATGTATTAAAATGCCAAGTTTCTTTTCCTTAGTGCAAGTCAGTTGTCACTGCCATCAGCTGACAATCAAATTTAACAAATTCAATATAAATATATAAGAGGAACTCTTTCCCACAAGTGACTCTTTGGTACCTGTATTCCTCTCCTGGTAACAATCACATGAAAATTGGAATTATTGTTAAAGAAAATGCTTTCCAGATGATTGATGCAAAGTTTTGTCTTAGGGTTTCCAAGAAAATTTTGAGTGTACATTTTAACATGTATATTCACATAAGGTCTTATGTCAAAATATAGTTTAGCTTTTGAAACAAACTATTTCCCAACAGATTAGCTGGTCCTTTGTAACATTTAAAAACATTTTTTTTTTGCTTGATGGGTTTTTGTTAGTCAAATTTCCTTCTATTTTTAGCAACATTGAACAGACTTTTGATAATATTCCCTATGAATCTTTGACAGTTAAGCTTTATTCAAAATTGAGTAAGTGGTTTTTAAAAATTGTTCACCACAAATAAACAACAGACATCAGCTGATGACACTAACTCATGAGGTCCTGTTGTTGATATTTTAATAACAAACACACACACTGGTGTAAAAAATAACAAGTGTATACACAATGTATATAGGTAAAAATAATAATACTCTTAACACTTAAATGAAGAACAGTTATGTCATCTGTGTTACTAGTAAAACACATTAAAAAGCCTTACTACAGGCTATAGACAAACTTAATATTTCATGGCAAACAGTAACAGATTGATCATGAATCAACAAATTCTTAAGAAGCTGCAGAACATACTTGTCTGTGTAAAAAATTCATTAGACATTAGTAAAAAATAGAAAAGTAAATATAAATGTTCCTTTCCTAGTTGAAAAATTTTCGGAGCAAACAATTGGATTCAATACATCCTTCAAGCTTTACAATAAAAGCATATATATTTTTTACAGTGATGAAATAATATCAAAAAGAAAATTTGTAATGTTTCAAAACAATTTATCAGTCAAATTAACACAGGAAAAATGGTGGACAACAACCCTGGTTGGTCTGAATGTAGTCAAGGGCACTGGTTTGAAAATCAACCTCTTATGAATGTAGAAAGATTCCAAAAACAGAAAGTAATAATCTTAAGCCAAAGGACAAGCTGCACCATGGCCAAACGAAAATTATACTAAAGATTTTTGCATGAACATTTGATTAACTTAGCTAATGGTTTTTGATGTGGTCTGGTTGCCCAGTCTTCATTTTCTATGCAGTGTTTTGTGGACTTGTTCAGCTTTTCATTATTTTTGCCATGATGTTGTAAGTTTTTCTTCGATTGATGAGCTTTGAATGTTCCCTTGGTATTTTTTTAGTTAATTTTCAATATCATTTTTAAAAAGGGATGCATTTCATTTTTTTGCCCTGCAGTTAAAATGAATTAAATCCTTTCTACACTATATATGAGCAAAATAGAGCTATTTGTTGAATTCCTTGTGACAACAGATATGTTAAAGTGAAGGTTTTGATTTTAAAGTTTCAGATAATTTAAGATCATCTGAGGTGGTTATGATAACTAAATTATCCTTAGCTCTTGTAGCTAGACTGAGTAAAAACTTCTGTAAACTAGCATGTTCCTCATTAACATGGGGATTAACTCCTATAACAGCAAGTTTATCAAGACCACTAAACCGATGAACTGTGTCAACTAAAACACCCTCCTTCATTTGAGCATCTTTTTGAATATCTTGCACAGCATGTTCTATTTCTTGTTTGTCTTTACTTTTCCCAACTAATATTGCGACATCACCAATCTCTGTACCATTCTCCACCAACTGATTCAACACATTAGATATCGCTTTCTCAATATTTTCTTGTTTACATTTAATAATTTCTACTTCACATCCTGATGAATATTCATGAGCTAAGTGAGGCTGGCTGTCAACTTTTTTCAAAGCTGCAGTTTCCTCTTGATCGTAAGATGTTTCATCTGTATCCAAAAACTGTTTGGCAAAGTCAAATATTTCTTTAGAATTTCGTGCCACTTCACTCAGCATGTAGTTATTTTTGCCAATCACAGATGGAAGCCCTGCTTTAAACTTGTGAACTTTCTGGGAATAGTCCATGAAAACCCAGAAATACCCACAACAGGTTTCCATTCCGTGATTAGTTTCATGTCTAGAAACCAGATGAGATGCCAAACCATACCAATCACCGTCTCGATCCTTGAAATTCTGAGCCTCATCCACGATCACGTTTTTGACATTATGATATGTTTCATCAAATTTCTTTAAATCAAAGTAAAGTTCCAGTATTTTTCTTCTTGTTGTTACTAGGCAGAAATTGAAGGACCTGAAATAAAAATCATGATATATATTTAACTGTATAAGCAAAGTATTTAAAAAAAAAAACAAGATCAAAGTAAGAAGTTAACTATGTGAATTGTGTGGTTAGTATTTACTGAGATACAATATACTGAGTCACAGTGACATACTTTTTTCTTATGATTTTTGAACATTTTTATACTCATCTAAAGATATGATGATTAACAATTAAGAATGAAACATAATAAAGAATGATTTCATACAGAACATAATCAAAATTTACAATGTAGTATATATATATGCAACTATATAATATTGCACAAGTGCAAATAAAACTTCAAATTAGTTATGACATCCGTGACAGAAATATGTTTTAAATAGTTTTTTTAAGCTTTGCTATACAATAAATGGGTTTTTGCATGAATATTGGTGAATATTATCCCTTGTATTATATAGATGTAGTCATCTTACTATGAAACAAGCATTCTGTGAGTATTGACTGGCAATACATAGTCCCCTACCGGTCAAAAATTCATTGAACTGGAACAAAATGCTAACTTGATCTATAACTTGTCATGGTGTAAACTTTATAACAAATATCAAGTCAATACCTTCAAGCATGAAGAAAAAAAATGTGGAAAAATGATTATTTGAGTGAATTTTCTAAGTCCAAGGACCTTAACTCTGCACAAAATCATTAGACCGGAACAAAATTCGAACTTATCTGTAACTTGTCATGATAAAACTATATACCAATCATCAAATCAATATCTTCAAGCATGACAAAAAAAAGTACGGAAAACTGATTATTTGAGTGATTTTTCTAAGTTCAAGGACCATAACTCTGCACAAAATCATCAGACGGGAACAAAATTCGGACTTGATCTGTAACTTGTCATGATAAAACTATATACCAATTATCAAATCAATATTTTCAAGCATGACGAAAAAAAGTGAGGAAAACTGATTATTTGAATGAATTTTCTAAGTCCAAGGACCATAACTCTGCACAAAATCATTAGACCGGAACAAAATTCGATCTTGATCTGTAACTTGTCATAATAAAACTATATACCAATCATCAAATCAATATCTTCAATCATGACAAAAAAAAATACGGAAAACTGATTGTTTGAGTGAATTTTCTAAGTTCAAGGACCATAACTGCATAAAATCGTCAGACCGGAACAAAATTCGAACTTGATCTGTAACTTGTCATGATAAAACAATACACTAAATATCAAATCAATATCTTCAAGCATGAAGAAAAAAAGTGTGGAAAACTGATTTGCCGGACTGACAGATGGGCACACAGACAGACGGACAGAGTGCAAACCTAAAGTCTCCTTCAACTTCGTCGGTAGGGGACTAATAACATAGTTGTCTATAACTCTGGTGGATAGTTGTCACATCTCCTTATTTTTTATATTTAAAACCTATTTTACTTGTATTTCACTTGTAAATAAATCAACATTTTCTGAACCAACAGATTTTCCATCTTTACCTAACGTAGGAACACAAAAGTTCATTTTCAGCAAGGTACAATACTTCATCTTTCTGACATCCCCTTCTTCTGAGCTCTGCTATAAACTGTACAGCAGCCACAGTCTTCCCTGAGCCTGGGGGTCCATGTACCCATAATTCCTTAGTAAACTGTTGTTTACATATCAAATCAAACTGGTCACAAGTCAACAAGAAAAAGTATTTGTCTGTAGCCAGAACTTCTCTCATTGACTTAGTTGAGTTTAAGGTAGAAAAATCAATCGGTTCATATGCCGCCATTGTTATAATGAGAGATTGAACTAAACTGTCAAATTTACTTGGTGTGACGTAAAAATGAGATGGATAAAAATTTTCCCACAAACTGTTCTCTATTTCATCATTATATCCATCCATATTTGCAACATGACAAACCAGACCAAACTTTTCTATGCATCCTCCATGGCATACAAGCTTCTCTTTAATGAATGCTGCTACATAACGACAATGTTCCCAAATTTTCTCACTACTAGTTTGTGAAATTGTCACCAGGTGGCATCCCTGATTCTCTGTCAGTACCAGCACATCACAGATGGCGTCACTAGGTTGTAATGCTGTAACCTGCAGCCCCCAACAATTAACAACAATCATCATATGTCGATCCACATCAAAGATGCTAAGTACAGATCTAATGAAGTCTTTGATCTTGAGATCTTTAATGCAGTCCATGTAGTGATGAGGTAAAACTAAGTTCTTACTGGCATCTAGAATATCAATCATGTCAATGAGGCATATATTGAAATGGGTCAAATTTGATTCATAAAATATACAAACATGTATTGTTATAATCTATATAAACTGCTGGTTGGATAGAAATTTTTGCCAGTCCTTGCAAAGGAATAATGCAAGTATACATATATTTCCAAACTTGTTTTTTTTTTTTAATTCTTATTCCTATTTACCACAACTTTTAGTTCTTTATTCTAAAATGTTCAAGTTTCTATGCTGTTTTTTCCACATCTCCTGCTTTATCATATCCAACAAGTTTCAGCCATCTAACCATTTATCGTGTTGAAGATATATGTTATGTATTACTGTTGAAATTTGACCCCAAGATACTATATGATTTTTTCAACTATAATGCAGATCATCTTCAACACATCACTTTATTTATGAACTTGGAATGTAATATTGAACCTCTTTGTGATAAATTCAAATAAAATATACTATGGCAGAGATAACTTCAAATTAACTAGAAAGAAATTCTTCATGTGCCTCTCCCTAGTCATTAGCATGTAATTCAGTGGCTGTCGTTAGTTGCTGTCTGTCATATTTATTTTTTAGCATTAATCAGGTTTTTTTTGTCATACCATAGCCTTTTGTAGCTTACTTTATGGTATGGGTTCCACTCATTGTTGAAGGCTGTACAGTGACCTTAAATTTTTTCGATCTTCATGCTTTCATTTCTGGTGCATATTTGTCGCATTGGCAATCATACCACAACTTTTTACTTCTATATAGAAACTTATTTTGAAACTTTAACACCAACATATTTTCAGTATAGAATTAAAGAAAGTTCCTTATCTTACAATTTACTCATGCTTAGTTTGAGTGAGACTTTTTTATACTATTATTTTTATAACTGTAGATTCTGTATAAACAAACCTGATAGCAACCTCTTTTCTATTTTTTCTATACTTTGCTTTAGTGTGAAGATCAGAGGTGACTGAGGGACACTTATGGGGAGCTTGATAAATCTGTTATGTAGGTCGGGTTTATCTGGAAAAAAATCAATGTACAATAAATATGTTTGTAGTTCTAGTTTGTCTGGAAAGGACATAATTGTGCAATAAATCTGTCTTGTTTGAACAAAAACTCATTGTACAATCTGTTATGTAGCTCTAGATTGTCTGAAAAAAGGAAGACACCATTGAATATCTGTTATGTAGTTTGGCTTGTTTGAAGAAGAAAAAACATAATTATACAATAAATCTGTTTCTAGTTCTGCCTTCCCTTAAAATAGGACACTGTTTAATCTGTCATGTAGCTATAGTTTGTGTGAAAAAGACTATATAGTGCATTTTTAAAATTTTTAGTTTGGTCCTAGCAATTATTGTTCAATCAATCAAATAAGAAAAAGATATCTATGTACAACAACAGTGCTACAGAGTTTATATTCTAAACCATCAATGTTGGTTTGTTGCCTCAATAGCATATAACTTAACATATTTTATTCATAATACTAGTACATGTAATGGATTAACTACATGTACAGAGCATAGATAATATGACAATGATCTTTCAAAGGAAGAAATCACATATAACTTATAATTTACATTGTATTTGTACCTCTTAGTGGATTAAGCATTGATAGCTTCCACTCAGAAAATTTCCAGGTTTCTATATCACCAAACTCATTTACAAAATAACTGTCAGGTGAAGCTGTAAATACTCCCCCTGGGAACTTACATACTGACACAACAACTATAACTCTTCTGGCCTAGAAAATAAACAAAAGTATGCGTTAATTACTATACTTGAATCAAAGGAGATAAAACTGAAAACTGGTACCCACATCATAATTACAACTCTTCTGGCCTAGAAAATAAACAATAGCATGAGTTAATTACTACTTATGAATAAAAAGAGATAAAACTATGTATGGGTTCCCACACCATAACTACATCTCTAGCCTAGAAAATAAACAACAGCATGAGGATAAAACTATGTACTGGTACCCATACCAAAACTACAACATGGCCTAGAAAATAAACAATAGTATGAGGATAAAAGTATTACTTTTACCCACAACATAGCTACATCTCTTCTAGCCTAGAAAATAATCAATAGTATGAGTCATACTAGTAGGGCCACTACAACTGCAACTTTTCTTACCTAGAAAATAAACACTAAGATTCCACTATATGCTGTCTAAAACCAGAATAAGATATATACATGTGGTCAAAAATGGTATCTATTGTATCAAATACCAATGAGTAAATTACATAACATTTTCAACTAGTGTGATACAATATATTTTTTTCAGTCCTCTCCATGTGTGTAAGTGTATCATTACAGCTTTTTGTAACCATGAGCTGTTCCCAGGTATTGTTAGACCTGAAGATCATAAAAGGCATTTATTTAATATATCGCACAGATATTGATTTTATTAACATGTCTACTATACTTAAAGTCTCTACCGTTCAAAAACTTTGTTTATGATAACATAGAACCAGACTGCTTAATCATTACATTTTTTTTAACTTCAAGTCTAGTTTTCTTTATGAAAGAAGCTTAAATTACCCTCAATATGTATTTCATAAGGTTTTTGTTCTACTGGGTTTTTTTTATGTCTTGGGGGTTTGTCCAGATGGCTCACGTCCATGACCTAAGAAATTAATAAATTGATTACTAATATGCCCATTTCTAGAATAAGAAACAAACTTTAAGTACTCACAAAGTGTTTGTTTTTGTATCGACCGACAAAAAATGGTTGTATGACAGATTGTTTCCTTTTCTAAATTTTAAAGTTTTCTTAAACTGATGAAGTTAAAATCATGGGCACTAAAAATCATTAGGTAAAAATTGTGTGCTTAAATTTTCTTGAAAGCTTCCAAATTCTTTAAATTCACAAGAACTTATAAAAATTAAGTTATCTCCCATTCTTTAAATGTTATAATTGTGTAAAATGGTTATTGTCAATAATAATCTTAATACTTTGAGAACATTGCCACAGTAACATATTTATAACCTTGCAAATTGATTAGAGGTTTTGGTGAATACCTGTCTCAAACTCATAAGATCTGATCAATTCTAAAACTCAAATAAATCTGCAAGATAAATGTGACATTCAAAAATAGAAACATATATTAAAATGAGTAGGATTGGATCTTTGATCTTATCTTTAATTTACCTTTTTCTTTGGAGAGCCAATAACAGGTTTGAAACAGATGTCCCAATGTTTTCCTTGTTCTGGTATAAACTCTTCATCTCCCCAGATCACATTCTCCATACGACCATTTATCAGCTCAACTATAAAATAAATTCTTAAGAACTAGATTTAATGACAATATAAATATGAATAAATGATATACATTGTTACATGCTCAGAAATACTACTGAAATATTACATATTATTATATACTTAGTAGTAAATACAGATAAATTGTATGTGTAATACAATCATTGGCAATCGTGCTGTATCAGCCACCCGTGATGACATCGATATCAGCACGGTTGCAAAGGCTTTATCACACCTTTAATCTGTATGACGTCACGTCAGCGATTGTAGTCACTGTTGCAAACCCTAATCTGTATGACGTCATGTCAAACCTATATTATAATCTGTATGACGTCATGTCACATAAAAAGCATCTACGTGAGGTATATATGTATACAATAAAGTGTATATGATATGGCTTTTTCAATATCACACACTGTATCAACCCTCAACCAATATAATCCCTCGAGCAGAGCTCTTGGGATTATATTGGTGTCTCGGGTTGATACGGATGTGATATTGAAAAAGCCATATGATATTCTCTATATAATTAGATTATAGAGGGTAGTATATGCATTTGTAATTTATTATTCAATTCCTTTATGATCAGCAAAAATTAATTCAATTAGAGAAAATTTGAAGCTTTTTGCCCTCATTTCAGAAATACATCCATGACCAAACATATTTATATACATGTATGACTTCACTATACAATACTTGCAACTTAATATCATACTAAAAAACTATAGTAAAATGAATATCAACACCACCACATTATGTGTCAGCACTAAGACAGGCTATATGGATCCATACATATTATGTTGTTATTTGTATGTCTTTATTGTTTTTAGAGGAGTTGCATATTGGTATGTTCTGCTGCACTGTCCAATATCTTTAATAATTATCATTATCCTTTTTATGTAATATACAGTCTTACCTTGTTATGTCGAAAACACGGATGAGTCGAAGTTATTTCTCGGTCCCGGTAAAATTCCCGTTTGATCAATGCATTTTAACCTCTGATGAGTGGAACTGGGTTGATTTCGAATTCTTGGTTAAGTTGAGTAAATGTCATAGTCCCGTCGATGTAAAATTAATGTAAATTGACCTCAATGTCTCGAAATTCGAAAGTAAGAAATTTTGAAAAATGTAGACTTAAAGATAAAATTCAAATCAGATGTTTTTTCGTATGTCACCTAATCATTTTCATAAGTAATTAGAGCTGTGTAAGTATAATTGTTTGCATAACAGTTAAAATGAAATGTTTATGGTGACCGGTAATTAACACCTTGGTTCATCGTCCATAAGGAACTTTAGTTTGCTTAACATATTTTACATAATATAAAAACCAAATTAGTGAATCGGTAGAATTAAAATTCATTAATTACAATGATCAAAAGGATTATGACAATTATGACAAATTAACAATAATTGAATTCAAAACAGACCCTCATCAGTGATATTTCAACTCAGCGAATGATTCCGAAATTTATAGTGACTGAGCTTTGTAAATATTTGTCTACTGGCCTATTGATTTAAATTATTTGTGAATGTTTTTTATATGTACTTGTGTATTAAATTATAATGATGGATCAAAAAATATGGAGCTTGAATACACAATAAATTGTCATATCGAAAAAAAGGCAAACTGTTCAAAATATCTAGTTAACACAAATCTCATACCGTCTTTCATGCATTCCAAATTTATGATGCCATACTTGACCTCGACCTCGAACCTAGGATGAGTTGAATACTTTTGTCTGGTCCTTTCGACTTTGACTTAACGAGGTTCGACTGTATAACAATTAATGCATGTAATATAAGTGTAATAGTTTTCCATATTAAAGTGTCCAAACCTGTCCTGTCCTGGTCATCCTCAGATAACAGTTCACCCATTGCTGATGCCCTGACATCATCAATACCAAATAAAATATGTCCACCTTCATGATTGGCAAATGCTGATATGTATTTCGATACCATTTGTTTGATTTTCTGTGGTATGGGTTTAGAATCTTTTGATCCCCCTGATAGATATTTAAACTGTATTTGCTTGGTTTCTTGTTTTATTTTACTGTCAGTTCTAGCATATTCAAAATTCTCTGGAATTTGAGGTAAATCAGATATAGTACATGGTGCTCCTTTCTGTTGGAGTAATTTCATTACAGAATGGTAGGTAACTTCATGTGTTGCTGTGTCAGTTGGCAGACGACAGTGGTAGTCAAGGGAACACAAATGTTCTGCAGATTTAACAAACAGATATAAATCTGGATCTGAATAATTTCCAACCATGTCAAAATAATTACAGATATCATCACATGACAAAATGTCTGCAAATTTGTTTTCCATTCCACTCCACCAGGTATCTAGGTGTTTTGGTTGCACACCTATTTGAACATAATCTAGGTTTCTCATATGTAGAATTCCACCTCCGGAGTTCAGGACAAATCAAAGTAAAAGTAGATTTAAACATTTATTTAGATATTTCTTTATGCTGTTTCTGTGACTATGTAATTGCTATGTTTTATCACATCAATTTTCTGATATTTTAATGTTTGTTTATTTCCTTTTTGCAACACATCTTAGAAAGTCTATTTTCAATTTCAACACTTCTGTGCATACATTTATTAAGTTTTATAAACAGATGTGAACAGTCCTAAGTAATATTCCAGTTAAATGTATGTATTTTCCTTATCAAATCATTTTATCATAGCTATTTCTGTTTATAAATCTACAAAGAGTTATCGTCCATTAATTTTCTTTCATTTGAGGCATTTATAATTATTTTTCAAACAGATCATACAGATGCAGCTTTACACTGTGATTTTATTTATTTTTATTTTCTTATTATACAATGTACATTTAAATCAAATAAGGTGCAATGATTGCTATGTTATTCTTACATTTCTTTAGCTTCTAAAGCTGATGTTCCACTAGACATTCTTTTTCTTTTTACTGTTGAATCATCTGAAACATACCACAATAAAAGATATAAAGAATATAGTTTTTTATTATATTGTTGAGTTGCTTATCTTAGCTTTATGCAGCAATCTAGGTAGAGCAAAAAGATTGTTTATCAATTGCTGCTTTTCAAGTATCTTTTCATTTCTACTACAAAATATTTGTTTAATGATTTGGTATCATATGCATGAGAGGATATGCTTAGCCTTCCAGAGTACCTGATATCACATAGATAAGATATAAGATAAGAAAAGAAAAATTTATTTTGATTTGGCACAAGTTAAAATACAAACACAAGCTCTAAGGAGCTTTTGACCGAATATAAAAACATATACATAACATAAAAACAGTCTAATTAAACATATATAACAACCTGTAATACAGAGTTGAACCTTACATACATAGCATGCAATAAAAAGTTAGCAACAAATTTATAATGAAGTGAAACATTTTTTACCTACATTAAAGTTTAAAATTTAGATTAAAAATATGGTAACTATTTAAATAAACAGATTACTTTTAAAATAGTACTTTTACACAGTTTACATTATATCCTTCTGCTTTCAATATTCTATTTTCCTACCATTTTTGCATTTGTAACATTATGATTTATCTTTCTCAATCACTTGAAGTCTTCAATACACTTAAGCTTCTTTCTGGTATAGAGTGGCTTTAATGTTATTAAAGTTAACCTGTACTTTTGGTGTCATTCTTACTGATATGTTGACTTGCATTGTACTTAAACCTCCCCTAAATCAAGTAAATTCCTTTTAAAACCCTGTCCAGAAAAAAAATTGAACAGCAACTAGTCACATTAGGAGTAAATTTACCAAATAAAACTGCTGAGCAAAAAAAAAAAAAAAATACTGTATAGTGTGAAATTATTAAGTCTAGTTTATGTAATTTGGTCAAAATGTTTTTTCCATAGTTGTGAAAATAATTCTTTATACATTTTTTGTTCAATATGAACACTTATCAGTTACAACCATGACAACAGTAGAGGACTAAATTGTCATTTTCATATAATTTAACATGTGAATAAAAGGAAATGTGGGGTATAAGAAATAGAGGTAATCGTACTGTCTACAACAACAAACAAGTGTCTACAACAACAGACAAGTGTCTACAACAACAGACAAGTGTCTATACAACAGACAAGTGTCTACAACAACAGACAAGTGTCTATACAATATGGAAAGCTCTAAATCACCCAGAGTCTAGAAATGGTTAAATGTCATTGTCTAGATATCAGCTCTAAATGATAACTGTATATCACTACCTGTTGTTAATTCATCCCTGCTTACCCATTTTAGTTTTTGAACTACTTCATCCACACTAGCATGACTAGATTCATGTACCAATCAGTCACCTTTTATTTTAGTTGTGATAATCACCTTCCAGGACATATCTAACTTCTTGTCTTTGTCTACAAAGAAGCATACATCAAACTTTATAATAAATTTAATGAAAAAACAAATTTTGGCTTAATTTTTTATTACGATTGTTGAAAAATGCACAAAATAGTGAGATTATTTATAACATTTCAGGAAATGATGCACAAAAAACTGTTATGAAATTTTAAAATGTGAGTTTTTATTTTGTGACACCTATCCTGTCACAATTACCACATTACATGCAATAAATTGTTACAAACATTTCTGAATTTAGTACAGTATACATGTTATTTGCATGTATGGTAGCTAAGGCTTGTGTTAATATTTTGTTTTCAATGAATTGTTGTAAATATCAGAACTACAATAAAGGAGCTTGATAGCTGTGATGGAAATGATGGCATATACAAATTGCCATTTAAAAGAAAATGTATGGGTCTGACATATGGCCATAAAGTGTAATAGAATTTATCCTAATCCTTAAAACAAATCATAACAAATGTTGTAAGACATCCAAGAAAACCTATAAGTCTAGACTGCTGATTATAAATGTACATGTAAATGACAGCTTTCAATACAATGCATGACAAATACAAATGAAATACGGATATTGTTTAATTTAAATTTGCTGCTAAAAGAAATATCTCCCTTTTGCCAATCTCTGATTTAGTTCCCAGGTTTGGTTACATTGATTGTTTTTTGCTTTATGTCCAGTGGCAAATATTTCATGCATGTTCAGGACAAGAACAAATGAACACTTAATACAATACAATGTAGGCACTGGTAGTTCCTACAATAGGGGACCGACTGGGCTGATGGGTTGGAAATTAGTTGGAATGTCACTGAAAAGTAAAGGTATATTGGATAGGGATAGAAATTCAGCCTTGTAACAGGTCACCTACAGACCCCTCAAAGAGTTGTTTCAAGGGTTCTTGTACATGTTGTAGTGCAGAGAGCATGGCACACTCTTTGAACAAGTCATCAGATTTAACATCTGTATTATGAGATGGCTACAAATTTATATATCCTGCAGAGCCAGAAAGATACCCCACTTTTCCAAGGGTTTTACTACTGGTTGGAAATAGACCAAGGGATGACCATATTTGAATACCCCAGTTAACTCTTTGAATTTTTGGTTTGTTTATCATGTTTATACTTTTGGTTCTTTTCTAACAGTTTAATCATCACTTCAACATTTCAATTCAGTTTTGGATTTTCAAATATTTTGGCCTCGGTCATCACTGAAGAGACCTTTTAAAATTGTCAAGATGACCATCTGGCATGTCTGGTGAAGTTAACAGCTGGTTATTGTTATTTTAGAGCTGCATGTACTAATACCTGTACCTGTAAGATACCTGTAAGATCGTTGTGGGGCTCATATGGAAGGATCCTATCCTTTTTTAGCCCACCTTATTTTGGTACACTTTCAAAACTGATACAAACATCAATCCTGCATGGTTTGGTGCAATATTTCACACAATAAAAAAGTTATAGAAAAACTATTTGTGTCCTCATCAATTACTTAACTGATACATTACTGACTCCCAATGATGGTCTATACTAATTTTAAAAGCTTCCACAGTTTTTGAAGAAATAACTTCAACTGGTAGGTTATTCCAATCATTTATAATACGTTGTGAATAATGTCTTAAACGAAAAGAAGTGTTACATCTAAGTTTTGCTAATTTCCAATTATGCCCACGGGTATTTGTCCTGATGACAGTAAAAAATCTTTCATAAGATATATCTTCGATTCCTTTTATAATTTTAAAAGCTTGTATCATATCACCTCTTCGCCTTCTGTGAGTTAAAGAAGGAAGTTAAAGTACTTTTAATCTTTCTTCATAACCTAAATGTCTTATATCAGGAATTAATTTAGTTGCTCTCATCTGCATTTTATCTACTGCATTTATATCTTTCCTCAAATGTGGATACCATATTGTGCTTCCATATTCCACCTGGGGTCGTACCAACGCAACATATAGTCTTAAAAATGTACATTGATCTTTAAAGCTAAAAGTCCGGTTAATCAACCCAAGTATACTATTGGCTTTATTTATTTTACTTGAAATGTGTTGTGAAAATTCAAGATCATTTTGAAAAATAATTCCAAGATCATTTTCTTGTTCATCTTTAGTGATATCAATATTGTTCGTGGTATAGACATTTTCAGGATTGTTTCTTCCATAGTGGATTCGCTTACATTTGTTCACATTAAATTTCATATCCCATAACTTGGACCAGTTGTAGAGTATGTCTAGATTATTTTGTAAGACATCAGATTTAGAAGTTGGTGCATAAATTTTGGTATCGTCTGCGACAATTTTTACTATATAGTTACACTTAAATCATGTGCAAATGGTAACATTCCCTTAGCCCTATAAAGCAACTAGTTAAATCTATTTTAATCTTACTTAAACTAGAAATAAATGATTTGCATTGTCTACAATAATTAACAGTTAATTAACTCCTAGTCTCCTTATTCAGTAAATGAGTTTTTGGAAATCTAAAAACCGGAAATTCAACATGTATAGTAATTTCAAACAATAATGGTATGGCTTTAAATAAAATACGGGTTTGTCTATTACGGAGGGGCATAATGATCCATAATATATTATAAAATAGCATAATGATCCATAATATATTATGAAATATTATATAATAAAAATTAAAAAAAAAAAAGGTGGGGGTCCATTCCCAAAGCGTCTGTGGCTTTTATAATAAAAAAATAATTCGTTCTTGTCATACTCTATATATGCACATGTTAACATGGGTAGGCATTACATTTTCTCAATAACTTTAAATAATAATGATGTCTTTACACTAAATCCGTCGGAGGTGTACTGATCAGATGCGAATCCAGGATTTCAGTGAAAAGGGGACCCGCGGGCCCCTAATAGACAAAGTTTGGAGTGGAACCGGTAAAAAGTCTGGATTTACCATAAATGTATCTCCATAAGGTGGCCCTAAATCGGCCTCTATTGATGAACATTTTAGCCTTGGAGAATATGTTTTATTTAGGGAACGACCATTTAACTTCAAAAGGGGGGGGGGGGGGGGGGTTATTGTTTTTTCCTAAAAAAATATTCTGATCCCCAATTTGAGGAAAAAAATATTGTGGTCAAGCAGATGACAAAAAAAAAATATTCTGAATCCAGATTCTTCCCATACGACGGTATAGTGTTAAATTTTGAAAAAAAATAATTGGATTGATAGCGTCGAAAAACTAAAAAAAAATGTTCGTGTTTTGCGCGAAAATTTTTTCTGACTTGGACAAAAAAAACCATAACTCCTCCCCCTTGAAGTTAAATGGTTGCTCCCTTATGACCATATATTAGTTGAATTATTGGGCTTTGAACTAGCTTTCAGTAACTCACAACACTCCTAGATTGGTACTTTGTGTCTTTCGTCGTTTTGTCGATTTTCTCTCTCTGGGTGTTCAACTTTGACCAATTTACGCCAAGTTTTAAAAAAACATGTTCGTTTTTCTCATTAATTTCATTGGATTAATTTCCTTCTCACTTGAACCAGTATATAGCAAAATTTTATTCTGGATGGAGTTAAAAATACAACACTTACTGTATTTAAGGGGTTTGATGAAATAACATATACATGTTTCGTTTCTCAGAAGTTTTATTGCATGTATAGTACACACTGCTAGTATGTAGAAAATAACTACAAAAGGGTTTCTTCGTAAAAACCATTAAACTTGACTGGAATGATTTCTAGGTCATAGATGCTAAATATGCACCGGGTGATAGTCCGCTGTGCGATTCTGGCATGTTTGAGCCTCTAGTTTCTTACAACTTGCACTATTCATAAGGAGGAGGATGATAAGAGCTATCATAAGGTCCCGATAATCACATTTGAAAATGGTAAATTATTCAATCCTTTCAAACTTATGTTTATTTGAATCATAAATGAATAAGATGATTTTCTTTCATGTAGACATATCCATTGTAATGTCACTGAGATATTTGATCTCAAATAGCCGTTTCTACCCACATTAGCTTCATAAGTAAATTATCACAAAATGAGGCTATTTTGACAATTTATGCAGATCATCGTAACTACAAAAAGTAAAAAAGAAAACGAAATAAAATGCGCAAAAACTCAAGCATGGACATCATGACTTATATCTGAACACCTGGAGAATGTTAACCGTCAAACATACATTTTGTGCATTGCACAAGGCCATAATTTTCTCAGACTGTTTATGACGTCTCAACACTATTATCAGTTGGATATGTACTGATTGATATTCATGTCTAGAAAAAAATTATTTATTTATAAGTCGAAATTGACTTTGATCTAGCTTTCGGTAACTTTGAGTACTCTTAGATTGGTACTTTGTGCTTTTTTTGTCTATCTGTAAGTGTTTTGTTGTGCTTAGTACCGGTGATGAGCCAATCCTTTGTCAACGGCTTTCACCAATGAGTGAAATCAATGCCGTACAGAAAGCTATAAAAGATCTCGGCATGCCAATATGCATGGGAAACAATTCGATCTTGAGGAGTCAAGAAGCTTTGTTTGTTCTTATGATGTGCTGTATCACAACTGTTCCAAGGTTAGGGCAGAGTTGAGGACTCACACACATGTTTACCCATCCACATTCTGCATGTGTCTGTCCTCATTCAGAAGTCTGTAATTCAGTGGTTGTCGTCGGTTGCTGTCTGTCATATTGTTTTTTCTTTTATTACTTTTAGTAACTCTCTTTTGAATTTGTTTCATGGTTTGCCATGTCGGTGCCTTTAAAGCTGACTATACGTTATTGGTTAAGCTTATTGTTGAATACCGTCCTTTGGTTTCTGGTAGACAGTTTCATATTGACAATCATACCACATCTTCTTATATATTCTTATACTAGTTTAAATATTTATTTAAATTACAAATTCGAGGTGCCACAACAATTGTTTTTAACACATCTTTTATTATCGTAAGCATTTGTTTTGCAGTGAAGGTTTCAATATATTCATAACATTATCATGGTATTTGTTTTTGTCGATGTAAAAGCAAATAAAACTTACATTCAGAAGTTAAAGTAGAGTTCAGTTCAAGATTTTCTAAAAAAAACCAACACGGATACACATGCACAAAGTTATATACATATAAGACCAGACAAACTTCCTGCAGGAAATATAATACATGTTAACGTACACGTTTCAATAACTTAAAACTATACGACGTATATATTTGTATTATATATTTTATTAGAATAGAAAAGAAAGGATATGGGGTATCCATCCATGACACGAAATCAGTATATGCACAGCAAAAAACACAAAAAGCAAAGGAACAAACAAACTCTCACTAATTGCTGTTCTTCATGTTTTTTACTTTGGAAAATTTGTTGCTGGATTATTTACCTAACGCGCATCATCATCATCGTCGTCGTCGTCGTCGTCCTCCTCCTCCTCCTCCTCCTCCTCCTCCTCCTCCTCCTCCTCCTCATCATCATCATCATTTGAGAACTGCACGAAGAGTTGCTTGCACAAAATACATAAAAAATCGTCATAGATACCAGGCTTATAATTTTGTACGCCAGACTCGCGTTTCGTCTACAAAAGACTCATAAGTGACGTTCGAATAAAAACAGATAAAATGCCAAATAAAGTACGAAGCTGAAGAGCATTTAAGACCTCAAAATTCCATAACCGTTATTATTGAATATTGCTGAAAATTTTCAAAGCTTCACAACACGAAAATCCACCAAAATGATCAAATGTATCTACAGTATGTGGTTCATGTTACAAACCTAAATATGGAAACAATTTACAAAGTTTGATTGTTTGATCGATTGGTGTTTAACGCCACTGTCAGCACTATTGTGCTATTTCGTGGTGGTCAGTTTTTATTGGATGGAGGAAGGCTCTTTGTTAATAACGATAAGAGTCCTAGTTTAGTTCAATCTGTTTTCTTTACCCGCCATCCAACATTTTTATCTATTAAACCGCACAATAACAAAACAGATTTGCGCAATATGTTATTTATCAAAGTTATAGATTCCTATACATTATAGTTAGCCGTATTGTTTATATCACATTCATATATAATTAGAGCAAATGTACAAATATCGTTCTTGACGACTGACATGGATTTCTAAGTTGTGTTATTTTTAATTATATATATATATAATGAGGTTTGTATATTTTGTTCCTAATTTTTTCCTTCTTTTATGAATTTATAGACTGTTACTCTCTGAAACAAACTTGAAAAAGTGTTACCAAGTAGTATTCAAGTGCGATATGAAAGTTTTACACTTCCTATTAAAAATCCTCGTAAGTTTAATTGTTTTTTTTTCAAATAATTTTAAATTTAAACACATGGATTTTAAATTATACCACAGAAGTATGTATATTGCAGTCATATATCTTTGCATGCAGTAATTTGATCATGTGTGTATGATTGTCACTTTGTATATGACCATGAGTGTTCTACATGCTTATTTTGATATTCATAAGTCACTGTAGTTAAAACATATTTTATTGTTCAGAAACTAAACAAACGATTTCTTCTCCAGTCCCTGTATTATAGAAACTGAAATTGTTATTGCTATTATATTAATATATTCTACAGCTTTAATATTGAAAAACGTCTATGGTGTGTCAATTAATGACACAAAATAACTACCCGCACTAGAAATAACCAAAAGCAAAGGATAAGCGCTGCCAATGATATTCTCCGTCTCATCGTCATTAGACGTTCAATTAAACAGGTCATGTTTTCAGGAAACACTGCATGTGCTGTTGCTACATGATTTTATTACATTCTGGTTTCGAAGTATACATTAGGCAATGTTATCAGGCTAATTAAACGTGTTTTGAAGAATGGTTTTAGAAGATGGTTGGTCGGTTCAATTAAAAAATGATTAATAGGCGAGTGACATTTTTCAAAAAGACGCTTAGTTAACGACTTTAATGCACCCACCTAACATACGGCTATATTATATATCATTCGGAAGCTTATTATCTGTACTTTCTGTTTTGCCCGGTCGTTAATAATTCGTACGGTGCAATTTTTGTTAAATCAAGGTCAAAAATGAACATTCCTAAATTTCGCAAAAAATTAAACAAAATAGTCCTTGCTGGTTCTTGTGTGATAATTTTTTTTTCTTCAAAAAATCATATGAACATAATAGAACAGAATACCAGAATTCTAAATCAAGTGCACATTAAAATGTTAATTGCGCAATAGTTACAGAAAATTAGCAATTTTTTAAAAATCCTTCAAAAATGATGAAATTGCGCTAAAAGCCAAATATTTCTTTATGTATCAATATTAATATGTCAAAAATAGAAAAACAAATTATCGTTTATAGGTGAAGGAAACTTTTTTTTTCATATTAAATTGCAATTGATATAATATTGGTCAGGAATCAGCCTTCGTAAGAAGCTTTTGCAGTTGCCTTTAAAACTACCATCTGCATATATGAATTATTTTGCTTTTCATTGTTTAGATAACATATCGATTGTTGTCAATATCAGGAGAAAATAATTAATCATATTTAAAAA